AGGTTGCCCTTTCTGTTAATCTGCGTGTGTTCTGTTGTGCATAGGGTTTTCAGAGGCCTGCTATTTCAGAAGTGGGTGGCCAATCCTTCTTCCTAGTCTATCTTAATCTGAATGTTCAGATTTAGAGGAGTATCTGACAGACAGCAATTTGTGAAGCAGTGAAAGATAAATCCCTTCTAACAGCTCATGTGGCTGTTTTTGGTGGCTGGAGAGGAGCGAGCGTGGAAGCAATGGTATCAGTTAGAACATTGGCAACACTGTGGGCCGTGCTGGCTTGGAGCAGGGTGGTAGTGGGGAGATGGCGAGAAAAGAGGCTGAAGTCTGGCTCTAGCTCTCAGGGTTAGCCTGTAGGATGCAGCAGTGCATTGGTTACGGGATGTGAAAGACAAAGAGCCAAGGTTCGTGAAACTAGCAGCAAGACAGAAAAGCATCGAGATAGGAAATGACAGTAGGAGAAGTAGATACTACAAGAGTTGAGGAGTAGGAATAGTAGTTCCCATTTGTGAATGGTGTATAAGACCCCAAGACTGGATGCAGTGATGATAGAGTGTAGACAGAAAAAGTCTAAGGACATTTAAAGGGTAAAGATAAGCAGGGACCAGCAAAAGAGACCGAGAAGCGACCAGAAAGAAAAAGGCAAACTAGGGCAAGTAGTGTTCTGGAAGCAAAGTGAACAAACCTGAAGGAGGAGGCATTGACCAGCTGGTTTAATGTAACGGAGTGTAGCAACATGGCAGCCACCTTGAAAGGTAAAGACACAAGGGGAGATGAGGGCGAAACGTCCTCATATCAGGCTTGAGAACAGAGTGAAAGTGGAGACCATGAACTAAGGCAAATCTTCTAAGCAGTTTTACTTTCAGGGAAAGAGTTAAATTTGGATGGTATCTGCAAGGGGAAGTGGAGTCAGAAGAATGTTGTTTTTAAGATGGAAAAGATTATGCCATGTTTATATGACAATAGGAAAGATATAGTAACAGGACCATGGGGGAATTTCTAGAGAGGTTTTCTAATGTACCAAGTGGACTCGTTGACCTATCTTAAAAGGGAGTGCTGGTAATCTACTGGGTAAAGGCTCTACTAACTACATCAAGGGAGAAAGGTGGGCCGTCTCCTCCTGTGCAGTTCAAAACCTTTGAAAACCCATTGGAGAGTCAGCAATGAGTCAGTTCTGACTTGATGTGACCTAACATGAACCACAAGAGGATGGTCATAGGAGAGAGTGTCGGGATTCAGATGGGAACTCTAGAAGAACCTTTCTGACTACTTTCATTAAGTAGATGAACTAAATTACCCTAGTTCACCAGTTAAATAGAAAAGATGGTTAAAATTTGGTCTAACAAACTTTGGGTATGTTGTTAGGCGAGGCTGTTCATTGAAGAGGGAATTATGCTTGGGAAAGATGAGAACAGTGAAGGAGGCAGGAAGACCCTCAATCAAGTGGGTCAACATAGTGACAGATCTCTTGTTCATAGTGATTCATGCACTCAGCTGTTAACCTAAGAGTTAGGAGTTCAAGACTACTCAGAGGAACCTTAGGAGGATAGCCAGGTAGTGTGTTTTTAAAAGGTCATATACTGCATTGAAACAGATGAGGGAGAGAACTGTTTAAAAGGGATATGTGGTTAGGTATTATTGTCATGACAGAAGTCCAGAATGAAGGCTGCATAGTGGAGTGGACTTGGGGGGAGGGATTGTATAACAATGAAAGAATTTTTCTTTTACTTTTCAAAGAGAAGAGCGAATTGGGGGGAAGGCGGGGTGGGCAGGGAGAAAAGTGCAACAATGAATGAAGAGAAATCCTCAGTCTCTGTAAACATTTCATTAAAATTAATAATAATAAAAAAATAAAAATAAAAAAGGTCCTAAGAGTTGAAAATCTTTGAAGTACAGTTCTAATCTGACATGAATGGGATCAGCTATGCATTGGAATTGACTCATTGGCAATTCTTTTGTTTGGGAGGGATTAATGACCATAAATTACAAGAGTGTCCAGTCAAATGCTTTGTGTTGTCCTGATACAGAGATGAAGTAGCGGAGAACAGAGGTATCCTTACAGGCTCTCCACCACCTGCGGTGGGCAAGGGAGCATCTTCCTTTGCCTCTGTAGGGGGGCCCTTGGTTACCTAAGGTGGGTAGGTATTGACCAGCTTCCATGAGTGTCAAGAAAACACAGAGGAATTTCTCTCATGGAACTATCTTGGAATTAAGAGGAACATTAAATCTAAAAGGGATGTGTATCCACAGTAGGTCAGTGAGTCATGGATGCAGCATCACTTCCAGGTCACAAGTCCCTTGTCGGTCATGACGACCATAGGCTTTGATGGCATTATCTCAATGTCCTCTCCAAAGCGACTCTTTGAGTAAAGCTCACCGATAAGTCAGTGGGTTTTCTCCTGTAAGAGTGCTCTGCCTCGTTCTTATTTTCCTTTCCTCGTGTGTCCTTCCAGGTTTGTGGTCCTCAGGCTCTCAGGATGCCGGTGTAAATGAGCAGTGTGGCGACATCCTCACCAACAAACGCTTCATGCTGGACATGCTGTATGCCCATAACAGAAAGCCCGCAGAGGACGAGGAGAAGGCGGAGTGCGAGCCGGGGAGGACTGAGCAGGGGGCCGAGGCAGTAGCCAGCCTCGCGAGCAGGATATCCACCCTGCAGGCCCACTCTCAGGCCCAGGACGAGAGCGTCAGGAGGGCCGACATTGACTCCCTGGACAATCGGGGCAGCGTGAGAGCCTTTGCTGAGAAGTTCAACAGTGGGGACCTGGGGAAAGGATCCGTGTCTCCCAGCGATGAGCCCAGTGACAAGGCTCCTGAGAAAGGCCCATCGCAGCCGAAGACAGAGTCTGACTACATCTGGGACCAGCTCATGGCCAATCCACGGGAGCTCAGGATCCAAGACATGGATTTCACTGACCTGGGGGAGGAAGATGACATCGATGTCCTGGATGTGGACCTGGGTCATAGGGAGACCCCAGGGCCACCTCCCCCACCCCCACCCACCTTCCTAGGCTTGCCACCCCCACCCCCACCCCCTCTGTTGGACAGCGTGCCCCCACCTCCAGTCCCAGGTAATTTATTGGCTCCTCCACCAGTGTTCAACGCTCCTCAGGGCTTAGGGTGGCCCCAGGTCCCCAGGGGTCAGCCAGCATTCACCAAGAAAAAGAAGACCATCCGACTGTTCTGGAATGAAGTGCGGCCCTTTGAGTGGCCGTGTAAGAACAACCGGCGCTGCCGAGAATTCCTGTGGTCGAAACTGGAACCCATTAAGGTGGACACTTCCAGGCTGGAGCACCTGTTTGAGTCTAAATCCAAGGAACTGTCTGTCACCAAGGTACCACTCACCTCCAGCATACATCTTAATTGGCACTATTCCATTTCGCCCTGGGGTCAGGAGAGTTGTGGTGTATGAAATAGCCATCTTCATGTTTCATTGGCTCTTTGGTAAAAACTAGCAGTGGGTATTGGCGCATGGATTCTGACTTCTGTCAACGTGATAGGGAAACATAGAATGGTGCTGTTGGATTTCCTGGGCTGCATGATTTTATGGGACAAGTTGCTGGGTCTTTTTCCTTGTGGAACTGCTGGTGTATTCAAACTTGTAACCCTTTAGCTACCATCCAAGTTCTTACCCATGGTACCATTAGTGCTACGTGGGTAAAAGTGTAGCATTTTAAGAATCTGACCTTTATAACTGTATCCTTTTATCACACTTGCTAGGCGTGAGCTAAATGAGTAATAAGTAGCAACAACAAAAAACCCAAACTTGTTAACATTGAGTTGATTCTGGCGAGCAAGCCTCTGGTGTTAGAGAACTATGCCAGAGAGTGTTCTTGGAGGGAAAGTTTATAAAAACAGAATGCCAGGCATTTCTTCCACAGCACAGTTGAGTAGATTTAAACTTCCCAACCTTTAGATTAATAATTGATGCAAACTGTACCACCTAAAAACATTGTTGTTGTTAGGTGCTGTCGAGCCAACTATAACACATAACACCTTAAGACAGGATAAGGAGCTGTGCTGCAATCCCAAAGCCACACCATTTAAATCCACAAGCTGATCCATGGGAGAAAGATGGGCAATAATCTCCTGACATATGATTAAACTGCCTCTGAAAACCCGCTAGAGAGGTCAGCTATGGGACGGTTCCAACTCAAAGGTACATAACAACTGTTCCCTAATATGGACACCAGCTCAATGCAATAACTAGCCGAAGTAGCTTTCAAAGAACCCAAAGAACATTGTAAAAGATAAAAAAAGATTAACCAAAGAATGTCAGTGTTAGGTAAACTGTGGGTATAGAAGGTAACTAGAGGAAAGTAAGAGGTTCTGACTTACCAAACAGCTCGATATTATCCAGCAGATGCATTTATTTACCATGTTGATTATGGTTGCCAGTAGCAGATGAACATTAGCTGTAAACACAACATACATTAACAAAGGCACTGATGCACGTGTTATGTCACTGAATATTTCCTCAGCAAGCTAAGCATACTCAAAATCACCCTTTGCCAATGAGTAGAAATCTACTCATAGTTGACCCTCCAGCAGATTTTTACAACCTGTAAATCTCCTGAAAGGAGATTGACCATCCTTCTCCTGCCTTTTAGATAGGCAAGTCGGCAACTTAACCGCTTGGCCACCAGCACTCCCTGAAAATAACTAGATATTTCTGAATAGCAGTATAGTACTGGTATTCTGTTCCTGTTGTGCATGCATCTAGATTTCTGATTTTTATCAATGTTTGAGAATCCTGTAGACATTACTTTGAACTGATATGTCCTATCCAGTTTTATCAATGAGAAGCACTGACCATGAAATTATGAGGCAACAGTGGTAAAGTCATGGCTTAGGAGCAGATAAAGAAGCCCCTGATAATCAGCCATGGATTTTATTTCTCTGATTTATTGCACTGATTTGTTGTTGTTAGTTGCCTTCAAGCCGACCATGACTCCCTTGTGTGTAACAACAAAAGCACAAGCACGGCTTGCTCCTGTGCCCTCTTCACAGTCATTGTTATGTTTCAGTCTATTGTATGGCTGTTATATATTCTATTCTATTCTATTCTATTCTATTCTATTCTATTCTATTCTATTCTATTCTATTCTATTCTATTCTATTCTATTCTACTCTACTCTACTCTACTCTACTCTACTCTACTCTACTCTACTCTACTCTACTCTACTCTATTCTATTCTATTCTATTCTATTCTATTCTATTCCATTTATTATGTAGTTCTGTGGCTATAGCATCTTTCTTAGAAGAAGATTATCTTGTCGCTGGCCCATTACCAAACTTGATGTTCTTTTCTAGTGATTCCTCTTATTTGATGCAATTTTAAAAGTAAGCAAGCCAAAGTCTTACTGCCCTTGCTTCTAAAGACATTAATAGAGTTGAGTTATCTTGATGTGTTCATGAGAAACTATTTTAAAGAAATGGCTTTTGAACACATTGTTATTCTGGGTATTTCATAAATTTAAAACTGATTTAAGGATTTCCTTTCTTCTCAGTAATTAAAAATAGGGAAAAGCTTTTGGTAAGGTATAATTGAGAGTAAACATGCAAGAGTCCTCTATCAGGGATTCTTTCTAGCTCCTTGTGGTGCTTAATGTATCAGCCCTTTGCATGCATGGAGAGCTGCCTGACAAGACTCCCAGCCTTGCCACTCGGACACTGATCCTTGTGTTACAGACTTAGGACAAGAGTGACCTAAACAGAGAGCCAAGGGACGTGGAATTGGAGCCCCTCGCCACTTTCAGGCAAATAAATGTAGGGAGCTTGAATTACTCAACTTCCTTTTTAAACATATGCTGGGCTCTGAAATTACTGGCTGCATTTGTTCAGTTGGCATTTGCCCCAAGTGACAATTTCTGCCCCACTCAGCGAGGACATGAGCCTGAAGCATTCCCTACACCAGGAAACCCCTCAAGTCATAATTAAAGCTTTCCCCCATGTATAAATACAAATTGCAGGGATCTAATAGGGGAAACTGTGTCCAGTCAGTCCTGTTAATAGGTTGCAAGGAGACGTGACTTTGACCTCTCTAAGAAATGACACTTAGGAAAGTGAGGCTTGTTCCTGATTCTGGGTGACTCTGTGCCCTGACTTCTCTAGCCATCCACGTTCTCTCTTCAATCCTTTTTACAGCAAGCCTGGCATGCGGAAAGAGACTAGCTGGGATTAGGACTAAGTTAGCAGTGGCTGCCAGGAGTTGCTCAAAACCTGCCCTGTGACAGTGCACACTAGCCCACTGGTCTACTTGGCAGTCTCTTTCACCCTCCCCTCTGTCGTGTGTGCTCATTACTCTGCCATGCCCTATATAAAGGCTTCCTGTGGTTGCATGTCACCTTGGGGCTTCTTAGAGAGGCTGGATCTTGACTCAGAGTGGGTGGAATAAAAGTAGTAACAGTTTGGCATTGATCATGCTTCTTTTGGCACTAAAGATGTTTCTAAAGCCATTTTTTTAAAAAGAAATTGACAAGATTAAATAGTCTTGAAAAGACCCAGAAGAAATGGTCTACTTACCTCCTTCTTCCATTGGTCATGTTGCCGCTGCTCTGGTTGGTGATAAAGTCTCAGTGGCCTGAAGTTTTAATCATGCTTGTGAAGCCAGTGGAATCCTTTAAAAGTTCTTACTGCCTTGTTAGTAATGTATTTCCCTTGTTTTTCCAAAGGAGGAGTATAAGAGGAAAGTAATAAGTGAAAATGTCCTTAAGTGTGTTTGTCTGATTATCCAAAGATTAAAAGTTCAGTTCTCCGCAGAGTGCATTGGAAGACAAACCTGATGAACTACTTCTAAAATGTCAGTCATTGAAAACTATGGAACCCGGTTCTTCTCCAACACACAGAGTCAGCATGACAGTGAGTTGGAATCAAGTCCGTATAAACTGATTTATGTTTTAATTTGTTGGAAAGTTTACCAACCTGATTCCAGAATGTCCTACATCAAGATTCAGGAGTCCATATCTTTGTTTTAGGGGGTAGAGAATGGAAACGGGCCAATTCATGAAATAGGACCACAAGGTCAGGCTGCAGCATGGCACGTCTGAGAGGAGAAGCTCCTTTTCATGTATTACGGATGCAGATAGAATCAATTTCACTTATTTAATGTGATTTTATAAAATGCAGTTGTAAATAGCCACCTCCGAATTCTGGAAGTGAGATGGTTTTTTTAAAGCACAATATTGTTATTGTTGTTGTTTGTTGTTGTTAGGTGCCATGAAGTTGATTAAGACTCAGAGAGACCCTTTGAACAACAGATCTAAATCTTGCCCTACCCCACACATCCTCAGGATTGCCGACATGCTCAAGGCCATTGATAGAGTGAACCAAAATGAAAATGGAGTAGGCTTCCTGGGGTAGCACAGAGCAGGGGAACTCAGATAGATGAGGTCATTGTCATGATCACTCCTAAAGCAGAGGTTCATGTGCCAGATCCAAGCTGAGGTGACCACTTGATGCAAATAATAAGAGATGAATGACAGCTTTGGGGCTTACCTTCTAACATGGATCTATTTTCTTCTTTCAGCAGGAGAATTATATAGCTTCTTAGATGACTTTTATTGTGTCTAGTGGAGAAACAGAAATTCGGTGCTAAATTTCATCCTGGTGCATCTCTACTATTGATTTAAGATGTGATCAATCATAATATAGACAGTTAAGGTGACCTCAGGGAGATGTTAGTACAGAAAATAGCTGGGGAAATGGGAAGGAAATCCTCCATGAACTTAACCTTCTCCTGAAGAGTCCAGGGAAAGTTATTTTCCAAGCCTTGTCTAGATCAAGGCACCAAAAATTACAGCTAGACCAAGATAAGCACGGAGTGAGAATGGAGACCAGAAAGCAGAAAGGGACCTAGTTTCCTCTCTTGGGTCTGTAAGTTTATCATGAGGGAGAAAATCCAGAATAGGCTCAGAGAAATGTCTTTAACTTTCTGTCTCTGGTAGTTTTAAAATACATCAGAAACTAATAGAAATGGCATTTTTAAGAAACATGAGAGATTATGGTTAAACTACCTTGGGGTGCTCCCACAAAGACTATTTTCAAAGTTCCCCAAGAACAAGCAAAGTTGTGAGCCCATAATTTAGAGGGGGAAATGGAGGCACTAAGGAGATTCTTCACCATCATACTGTTCTCCTGAGCAAAAAAGAAAACACCTTTCCTCCGCTGTATTTAATTAAGCACAGGACAGAATTGAAGTGATTTCCTCAACATCATCTGTGAAATCTTGGACTCTACCCTTCAATTCCAAGTCCAACCTTGATACTTAAGTCAGGCTACCTTTTCTCTTGAACCCAGGGAGCTCCTGAGTCTGCCTGTGGCCTCAGCTTAAT